AATAGGAAATAATGAATTGTATTCTTATTTATTCCTTTTTTAGTTGATTGAATTATGCCTGTAATTGATCAGAATTATCAATATAAAAGGGAATGAAGTCTAACTCATTTCCTAACTCTTTCTTTTCTCTAAACCTACATATGTGTATATATATGTATGTATGTATGTATGTATATATATTAATATAATTTACCCTAAAACATTGATTTTTGTTCTTTGTGTGGTGTAGCTAAAATTAAATACAACAATAGGTTGAGTATAGGAAGATTCATAATTCTCAACCAAACTTGCTAGCATGTCCACCAACAAAGCACACCTACAGTAGGCAAACATTTTTTCTTTAATTTGTTAAAGTTATATATTCCTTTATTTTTATTTTTCCTTCATGTCTTGTGAGGGCCTGAACCTTGCAAAATCTTTTTGGGTATTAAGAGATAGCACTGAGCTAATAGCTGATATTTTATTTATTTTATTTTTTAAATACTAAATAATGAATTAGAAACAAAAAGTTGGTTTCTATTTAATGAGGTTTCTGTAAACTAGATTTAAAAAATAAAGAAACAAGAAGAGGATGGGTAAACAGGAACACATGGTCCCTGCCCGGCCCCACTCTTTGCCCGTGCTTCCAGTATTCAACATGATGTGAAAGCAATAATCAATAATTTGTGGTTGAATTTGAAGTTTATTAATTACATATTTTTTACAGGTTACGCGGTCTATTGGTGATGATGATCTGAAGCCTGCTATGATTGCAGAACCTGAGATAACTGAGACCATACTGTTTGTAGAAGATGAATACTTGGTAAGGTCCTTTGATCTGATAATCTTCTGTTATCTGGGGTTTATTATTTGTGTGCTACGAGAAACTAATAAATGGATTTGTGGCTTCTAAATAGACTTTTATGTACAGTTTCCAGGGAAATCAAAAATTTTAAATAACTGCAGTTGCAGCTGCTTTAATCACTTTAAAAGCATTTGTTCTATATGCCATTACCAAACACAATTTTCTGTAGTGCCTGGATGATCGTAGCACAATTCATGTTCTTGCAATTTGAAATTTGTAGGCCCCCAATTTTGGAGGTCCCGTACTTGGAAATGTTATTAGCAAGACAATTGAATAATCCTGAGATATATTATTGAAGTTTGAAATCTGTAGCCTTACAGAAAAAGATTTTCTCCAAGTGTTTCCCACAAACACTCCATTAATCCCAATAGTTTAAAAACCCTTTTACGAATGATGTGGAAAAGAAGTAACACAAGGTTTTAGAACAATAAACTCTTTAAGGAGTTGAATTTAAACAACAAAGCTCAAATGCAAAAGAATATGGAAGTTGAAGCTCAAAACTTGAAAGATCTTGATGGGTATTACATTTAATCCTTCATCCCATGTTTGTAGACATGTAAAAATCTTGTTTTTATTGCCCTTCATCTCATTTTGGTCGTTCCAGTGCAGTAAATGCGTCTCTAGTAGTTGAAACGAAGTAGCTGTTGCATATTTTAGAATTTAAATTTCGCGACGAAGGAGTCAACTTATTTTGAATCTAGGTGAAATCTGAAGCTCTCAGAACTTTTCTTAAGGGATTCGATTTATTTGGTCAAGGAGTTGACTAATCCTTTTATCTGCACGACAACTGGAGTTCAGGGTCGAATCATTTATTTGAGGTCGACTCAAGACCTTCAATGTTTTTAAGATTTTCACGTGTTAAGCATCTCAAACTCATCCAAAACCCTTTCTAACTCCAAAATAAATAATGAACATTTAATCACAAAACAAATATCAAAGACTTATTTTGGAGCTTTTTAATCTCAATCATTACAGCAGGAAAAATGTAAAACTTTTAAAACACTTGTACTCCTTTTGTAATGAATTATTCATCAAATACTAATGACAAAATCATGTTACATTCTCATATTTCATTAAGCTATCCAATACCTAACACCAAAGGATATTGACAATTCAAAGTACAAATTTATCATTTGCTAGCCACTCACTAATTTTGTATTGTGAAATATCAAACATATATCACTGTAAAACACAACCAACAAAAGCATCATAGACAATATCAAAACTAAACCATAGGTCTAATTTCTCTTTCATTTGAAGCATTTTGAGGCTTCTTGAATTCAACCCTTACTCTTTTGTTATGTTTACAGTTAAAAATAGAATACAAGTATCTTGGCAGACTAACCCCAAGGGGTTGGCCTAGTGGTCAAGACCTGAGCCTAGGGTGTGCTCCCTTCAAAATCTACTAAGTGCAAACAATTTCTCGAGACCAGTTCATATGGGACTTTGCCCGACCCCCCACTAGTGGATGGTGAGATTGGTCTTCCGGAGTAGTCGGTCTAATGGGCCACATGCTGAGTTATCAAAAAAAAAAAAAAAATTATCTTGGCAGACTTGTAATTATTCTAATTTGTATTATGCTTTTCGTTTGTTAGTGCATAACACAGGTAGGCACTCAGATCAAACTTATTCAAAAGAGATCGTATACCACAATTTGAACGATTATGGTTTATGCCTTTGTTTTTCGGTTCTAAAAATAAAAAAATTCTAGCGACCTTGCCCTATCTCTTCCCTCCCCATTCACACCTCATGGTTTCAAAGCATTGAAATAAGACAAAACAAGGAGGGTGTGGAACTACATGTAAAGTGATACAGTCCATACCTAATATTAGGAAGATAACCTCTCTAGTATATTTGGGACTAGTTAAGTTTGAGATAATATTATAGTGTTAAAGATATCAGAATATATGAAGATACATAACTGAAGGGATTTGATTGTATCTCCCACTATATATATGGTGTACCATGTAATCAAGAGGATTAACTAGTGTGAATAAAAGATGTAGCCCATAGGGCTTTGTATGTGTGGACGTAGGCCAAGATTGACTGAACCACATTAACTTTTTGTGTTCTTTCTTCTCTCTTTTCTATTTTTATTATCTCTTCATATTCAACCTTCTTGTCATATTACCAATATCAACTATTAACACCTACCTTCACATGCTTCTCATATTTCTGAACTTGGAGTTATATTATTTAGTTTAGTGATCTCTAAAAAATGATCTTTTGAAAAAAATTACAGTGGCTGAAAAGGGGGGTAGGAAGTAAAACCCTAGATAATTTTGCGACCTTTATGCTTTTCCCAATAATTCTTATTTAATTCAAATGCTTATGATGTATGTTTCATTTGTAATCAGACCATTTTCAAAATTTTGCTTTATTTATGACGGATGGTTGTGACTTGTAAGCATATCACATTTTTATAGAGAGAGTAACAATATGTGTTCGACTATCAGGTTATGGCTAGCGATGGCTCTGGGATGTTATGAGCAACGCAGAGATTGTTTGCATAATAAAGGACACAGTGAAAGAGCCTAGGATGTGCTCAAAGAGATTGGCAACCGAGGCTGTTGAACGTGGAAGCAAAGATAACTGTTATTGTCGTTTTCCTGCATCCTGTATCTACTGCAGAGAGGATTTACTAGGTTTGATGGTATTCTTATACAAATTGTTTTGTATCTATGAAATTAATTTTAGTGAGACATGGAAATGAACCAGAGGTGGTAGGAAAAGGTTTACCTCCTCATCTTGTGGAAATTGTATGTGTACATTTATTTTTAGTGGGAAACTACACAAAGCATATGCTTGTATTATTGGATTTCAATGTGCATATATGGAATAATATTGTTAATAGATGTTTAATGTGTTCACAGTGCGCGCGCGCACACACACACTCTCTCTCTCTCCCCCAAAAAGGCATGAACACTTCATTAAAATTAAACTGTACTACATGATTAAGGCAGGAATTTTTGATATGATAATACGATTCAAATCTACATGAATATATGTATATGGCACGACTCATTAGCACGAATATTAAATAGGTTGGATTACTGTCAAATTTGTATAGAACAAAGCTGACACGAATAATCGGTATAATGAAAAATTAGTTACATATTTAATATTATTTCTATTAAAGGGTGTTATGACATTTTTTAATCTCTTATATAACTCCATCTAACTAAGAAAAAAGCATGTAAAATAGGATTTTAAAGCTAATAAAGGTTTTGTTTTTGTTTTCAATTGAAAATTTATTTGTCTACTGTTTGAGTTAATTTAGTAAAAATATATATATATAATAATAAGATATTGTTTTTGTAAATTAAGAAAATCAAATTGAATTGAAATCAAATATTCTTATGAATAATTTCATTCAATATAGATTAGTTATAAAAATTAAATTGTGAAGAAATTTTTTTTTTTATTTTTTGTACGCTTGATATTTTTAGCTTGTGGTCAAATATTTTTACATGACACATTAATACTATACAAATCGGATACAAATCAGAAATGACATGACACAATAACACGAAATAATACATGAGTTAGGTTATTATTAAGATAATTTTGACACATTCAAAATGTCACGACACGAGCACGACGCCGAAAGCATGCGAAGAAAGTAAGAAAACCTATATAATTATATTAGTAAAGCGTAAAGATATTTCCTCTTCTTATTATCTCTCAGGTTCATCCCTCTTTTGATTTATTAACTAGAGTTTCAGGCTTGTTGATATTATTATGGCTGTGAAAGGCCTCAAATGAGAGATTTTTCTTGCTTCACTCCCAGCATTGAAAATAGGCAACCTTGTGTCAATATGAGCTCGTCCGAAGATCGTGATTTAGCTGTTGCGAACTCCTCAACTTTCCGCTAGACCCACCCTCTAGCTGTAAAAATTAATGTCTGCCATTTATTTGGTTCATAACCATCACTACTATATCATAATCTAGGATCACAAAATTTCTAAACCAAGACAACTACTATACACAATTCTAAAAACAAAAAAACAAAAAATAACAACCACTACTATTCGTGATAATCAAACACAACTATAAATCATTAACCAAACATTCCTAATGTTATCTTGGCTAATAAATTTGGTTGGAGATTTAGCAAATGAAAGGGAAAAAGTATGTAAAATGCGAATAAAATATAGTTACATTTTATCTACATTTCACAGAACTTTTCCTTTTTCTTTTCAAATCCTTACTAAAATTTATCAACCGAATGCAACCTAAATATTTGGGGAAAATCAAAACAATACACTTTCGGATATTCTAAATAAGTGCACTTTTTGACTTTTTATAAAATATGAGTTGGGTATGGGTTGGGTTTAAAGTGATGTGATAGAGAGGTGATATGACTTCTAAATAAGTGCATTTTTTAACTTTTTATAAAATATGAGTTGGGTATGGGTTGGGTTTGAAGTGAT